GGCGAAAAACAGTAACTTAATAATGGAAAATAGTAACTTAACGGTTACGTGTCACATTAATAACAAGACAAGTCAATTGGTTTTTGTGTGGGAGGACCAACTTGGGGTAAATTGGTAAACAGTATGGACCAAATCGGTGGTCCGTACAATAATTTAGGGACCAAATCAAGAATTTTTTTAATTCAGGAACCAAATTAAGGGTCCGTACAATAGTTCAATGACCAAATTAGAGATTTAACCTTTTCATTTAGGGGTTAATTTGTGATAGTTTATATATTCACTCATTTAATGATGTTGAACTTAATTTTGATGTGTCAAAATATAATGGAAATGTAAATTCATTTTTTACATCTCATTTCGATTAATTAAATTTTTTATTTTTACTTGTAATGATGAAAATTCAATTATAACTATGAAAGGGCTGATTTCAAAGTTTAAAATTCAATTGTTAAAATTTTATCTTTGGAAACTCAATTTTAGATTTCTTATTGTTAAGAAAGGAAGTAATTGCATTTTATCGTTAGTCATGTTTTTAAGATTAAATATATTGTCTAATTAGTGAATGAATATGTTTCCAAAAGAAATTTAGATCCTTTCTCAAAAACTTTACAAAATAAATGTTTTTGCAAAAGTGTGTAGAACCAAACAAAAGGGTCTAGAACCTTTTAAGCTAATGTTTTTGAATTTCCTTTATGTTCAGAAAATTTTCCAACACCAAGGACTAAACGCAAGAACTTTTGAGGCTAATTTTTTTTTTTTTTTAACGCTCGCAAGACTCAATGAGAAAATTTTGACACCAAACAAAAAGGTCGAACACTTTTGTAAATATTCACACCAACAGTCAAGAAATTTAAAAAGAGATATGAAACTTATGAAGGTGGTTTGGAACTACAGCTTTTAAGGCAACTTTTACATTTCAAATCAAACTTGGTTCTTTCAAACTAAAAGAAATGGCTAGAAGCCTTAAGTGAGCATTCGTGGAGAATAAATAGATGCCATTGGAGGTTGAAGCAGGTCAAGAGAAAACAAAAGAAGAGCCTTCATCTTTGAGGGAAAAAGAGTTATAACTTTTCGTATTCTTTGTGCTTAAGCTTTTCATTATGATCATCTTGTGATCATGGTTCTCTTCATTCTCTATCATCGAGAAAGTGAGAGATGGATTGGGTAGCCTTGTTTAAATGAAAAACTATCATTGTGATGATGTAGGATTTGGTTTATAAGAGATTGTAACAAGGGGTTAGTTTGTTGAAGGTGGATAGTGCTGATAAAGTTATTGCAAACAATTTCCTCTACACTTGGAAGTTTGAGGAAAGGCATTGAATCCAAAGCAAACTCTTAAGTAGGCAGCTTAAGGAGTGAACAAGGCACAAGTTGTGACCAAATCATTGTAAATCATTGTGTTTGAACTTTCTCTTCCCTCTTCCCTTATGTTTAGTTTTCGCACTTTAATTTATGCATTTGTGATTACATGTGCTAGTTTAATGATTTACAAATACAAATTACATAAGTTTTTTGAAACCCAATTCAACCCGCCTTGCATTTCCATCAACTGGACTAGTAATTGATATTAGAGCCTCAGCTCAAATTTTTCTATTTTAAGATTTCATAAATCATTTTTGAGTTTTGATCATGGTCACACCAATTTTCTTGTCCTCTAAGAGACAATCCATCATTCATCTTGCTTTTTTCAACTAAACAAATTATTCTTATTGGAAGAATAAGATGAGGGTTTTCATGCAAGGCATGGATTATGCCATGCGGGAAGTGGTTCGTGATGGCCCTTTTGTTCCTTTAAAAAGGGTATGAAATCAGAAGAGATGGTCCCAAAGATAACTAATGAATTGATAAAACTACTAAGGAAAAGGTGTAACTGAATGCAAAAGCCATAGTTGCATTATATTATGCTTTAGATCCTTATAAATTTGATCTTATAAAGTGCATGTGTGAGTGCAAAAGAGATATGAGATAAATTGGAAGCAGCTCATGAAGGCACTAATTATGTAAGGAAGCATAAAACGAATAGGTTTGTGCAACAATATGAACTTTTTAAAATGAGTTTAGATAAGGATATTAAATCTATGTTTACTTGTTTTACGAAGTTAACAAATGAGCTTGTTCTTCATGGTAAGGTGTACTTGGAAATAGAAAAGGTGAAGAAGATTTTGAAATCCCTTCCCAAAACTAGAAGTAACATTCGAACCACCATTAGGAGGCACCTGACTTAAGTGTGATGACCACTAAGTTCTACAAGGAAAGCTACTTACTCATAAGATGGCAATGAAAGACTACAAAAGCAAGGATGAGAGTGAAAAAAAAGAAGCATATTGCACTAAAGGTCATTCAAGATAGTGAAAGTGATCATGAAGATGAAGATAAAGATAATGAGGGTCTCCATACTCACCCAAAAACTCAAGAAATTTTTGAAGAAAGAAAGCATTAGGAAGCAAGGTAAATTCAAGAAGAAATATTGGATAAAACACAAATATTCATCAAGTGAAGAAAATGAGGTGATTTGCTATAAATATAAAAATGCTGGACATGTCAAGCCAAATTGCCCATTCAAAGGTGATAAGAGATTCAAAGGTAAAGAAAAGACAAGTGAAAAAGGCTTTAATGGGGACATGGAGTGAAAATGATGAGTTTTCATCAAGTAAAGATTTAAACTATCAAGAAGTAGCAAATGTTTGTCTCATGGCAGAGGATGATAACAATGAAAAGTTAACTTCAAGCTTTAACTCTAATAATAATGCTTTTTCTTATGATTCTTTGTAAGAGAAATTCGATAAATTATTTCTTGAATCTAAGAAATTGAGTGTAAAAATAATGCCTTGAATCAAATAATTTCCTCTTTCTTAGTTGAAAAAAATGATTTGTAAAAATTTATTAATTCTTTAAATTTAGAAAATGAGTTTTTAAAGAAAAATGATTTACAAATGATAAATCTTTGAGAAAAGACAATGTATCTTTTAAAAATGATTTGGATTGTCAAAGGGAATTGTTTGAAAAGAAAAGAAATATTTTGATCTTAAAGTGCAATGATTTAGAACAGATGAATGTGTTGGCTCAATGCACTTCAAGAGGGGTATGAATTGGAGTTCAAAATTTCCTCCTCTTTGCAACCACAAAGCAAAAAATTAAAGAGAGTAAGGAAGAAGAGCTTGCACAGTGATTTTATAGAGGTTCAATCCAACTACTTGAAGCCTACTCCTCTAACTTAACTTCACTCACCAAGGATTTCCTCCACACTTTCCACTAAGAAGAACAAAGGTGGCTTAAAGGAGCCACTCAATCCTTTTACAAGAAAATGAGTTTTTCTT